CCTCTCTCTGAAGATAAAATCCTTTTTTTAAAAGTAGGTTTACAACTCTGGCTGGTGTGGCTCAGTGGACTGAGCGCCCGCTTATGAACCAAAGGGTCGCCAGTGATTCCTAGTCAGGGCACACGCCTGGGCTGCGGGCCAGGTCCCCAGTAGGGGGCGTGCGAGAGGCGGCCACACACTTGATGTTTCCCTCCCTCCCTTCTCATGTCTAAAATAAATAAAATATTTTTTAAATACATAAAAGTACGTTTACAGTTGTAAGTACGTGAAAGTTTATTCCTGCATTATTATTTTATTATTATTTTTTAATTTTTATTATTTATTTGTACCACCCCTGTAAACCTAGTTTTGCCCACCGCGTACATTAACACTGAGGCCTTCCTTTCATCGGGTGGCACCCCTAAGAGTGAAAAGGGGGCCACGAGGTGGGGAGTGAGGTTCGCAACACCTGCACCTAACGCAGACCTCACCCAGGCTGCATGGAGAACTCCCCCGGATGGCTAAGCAAAGCAACCCGGCGAACAGTGGGCCCCGGGCCTGCGCATCACGCAGGAGAACCCGGGTCGCTGAAGAGCGCATCATGAAAGGCTCGACCTCACGAGCCGTCGGGGAGCCCCAAATCAAAGCCGCTCCGCAGGAAACCCCCTGCAGCTTCCGGGCCGCAGGCGGCGCCGAAAGAAACGCGGAGGCTGACGGCAGCCGCGGGCTGCTGAGACCGCGGAGCCAGGGGAGCGCCCTCCGCGGCTGGCAGGAGGGCCCGCAGCGCCCCCGCCCGGCCCTGGGCCTGACAGTGACGCGTTCCCCGCTTCCCCGGCAGCGCTTTCCGTCCACTCGGGCACACGCGTCCGCGCCGCACGAGCGAGCGTGTGCACGCGCGCGCACTGACGCCCCTGTACTCGGGGCGGGCTCCCCAGTGGGCTTTCCCCGCGGCCTTTCCTCCCGCGCTTCAGCACGGTCTGCCCGCGCAGCCCGATCCCCGTCTCTCCGCCGCCCGAACCCGGACTGGAGGCCTCGGGCAGACAGCGTGTCTCCCCCGACCCCACCCCCGCCCCGTGCGCCCTGCAACTGCGAGGGCGGACTCCGAGGCGCGCGCACTCTCTCCGCTGGTTTTCGGTGGCGCAGCGCACGCGCACAGCCGTGTTTTTAGATCGGGCCGCGCACGGCACGGCCCCACCTGGTGTCCGGGCAGCCTGCCGCTGCCCGCAGCGAGCAGCACGTCCGCCTAGACGCTGCCCTTTGACGCCCGTGCACAAAAGTACGCAGCACACCTGTTATGGGTACATGCCATCCGTCCAATTCCCACGGAAGTTGTGGCTACACACCCATAGCGAAAGGGCCCGTGTTCCGTGGATGGGGTAACCTTTCCCATACTTTCCCAGCCTGCTGAGTGCAAGTCAACGCGGGGTTCCCCGCTGTCCCTCTCTGGGTGGGACTCAAATCTGCCGGTCTTTTCCGCTATGGTTTTCTAGAGGCTGTAGAGCCGCCTTCCCCACCCAGCACCCTAAAGTTATGCAGATAGTCCCCTATCGGGGTGTCCACCCCGCGGCCCGCCGGCTGCATGCGGCCCAGGGTGGCTATGAATGAGGCCCAACACAAAATCGTACATTTACTTAAAACCTCTATTTTGCTCATCAGTTATCGTTCCTGTCTGTGTATTTAATGTGCGGCCCAAGACAACTCCTCTTCTTCCAGCGAGGCCCAGAGGCGCCCACAGGTTGGCCATCCGGCTAGTAAGCTTTCTCCCACTCACAGAACGTTATTCTACGTGGCTCTTGAATCCATCGGGAACTTCTTACCCGCAGTGTGAGAACCGTTTTTTCCGTCCAGAGGCCAACTCTGCTGAGCCCCCTTGACTCAGTTAAAATGCCGTTCTGATCCGGCCTCAACTGGCCACACATAGTAGGGATGTTCTCTGGACAGTCTGTCATTTTTTAAGATTTAATTTATTTTATTTTCAGAGAGAGGAAAAGGGAGAAAGGGAGAGGAACATCAATGTGGGAGAGATACATCAACCAGTTGCCTCTCACACACCCCCCAGCTGGGGGCCTGGCCCGCAGCCCAGGCATGTGCCCTGACCGGGGTTTGAACCAACGACCTTTTCATTTGCAGGAGACTGCCAACCCACGGAGCCACACCGGTCAGGGCGGTCTGTTATTTTTCTCTGACCTGTGTCTGTGGCCAAGCCATGCTGCCTTGGTTATTGTAGCTTTATGAGGTGTTAATATCTGGTGAGGAAAGTCCCCCCTCATTCAGCTTTTCAAAAAAAAAATATATGTCCTTACGCATTTTCCTACTATATTAATTTTTAAAACATTTTTGCCATAGGTTTAAAAACTTCATTTGTTGGGGGAATTTCATTAAATCTCTAAGGATGCTAGACCTTTTTTTTAGATTTTATTTTTTAGAGAGAGAGGAAGGGAGAAAGAGGGCGAGAATGTCAGTGTGCGGTTGCCTCTTACGCGCCCCCTAGTGGGGACCTGGCCCGCAACCCAGGCACGTGCCCTGACTGGGAATCAAACTGACGACCCTTTGATTTGCAGGCTGGTGCTCAGTCCACTGAGCCACACCAGCCAGGGCAGAATGCTAGATACTTTTATATTACATCTTGCTATCCAGATATTTTTGTTCAGCTTTTTCTATATACAATTTTTAAATTAAAAATCATTTTCTTCACTTGGGTCCAGATAATTCTTGTTAAATTTACTCCTTGACTTTACTGTTTTATTACTATTGTGAGTGGAATTTTCAACTTTTTTTCTATTTTAACTGATTATTTCTATTGACTATTTTGTAATTAATTATTTATTTATTTATTTTTAGAGAGCGGGGGAAGAGTGGGAGAAAGAAAGGGAGAGAAACATCACTGTGTGGTTGCTTCTCGTACACTCCCCACTAGGAACCCGGCCTGCAACCCAGGCATGTGCCCTGACTGGGTATCGAACCAGTGACCCTTTGCTTCACCGGCCTGCACTCAGTCCATGGAGCCACACCAGCCAGGGCACTTCTGACTTTTATATATTTATTTTGTATCCAACTATTTTACTGAGTTCTCTTGTTCTAACTTATTCATCGATCCTTCGGTATTATAGCTGGAAAGTGTCTCTTCGGATTTTCACACCATGCATTCCACTTTGCTGTTTGCACATTAGGGGCCAGAACCTTACAACACAGGTGCGTAGAGCCACTAGGGGGCATAGCGGGCTGACGCTGGTTACAATGGTTTTTGATGGCTCCATTGCGGTCGGTTCCCGCACGGGCTTCAGCAGCGCCGGAGGCTCATTAGAAATGCAGAGTCCCCGGTCCTACCTACTGAATCAGAAACTGCAGCTTCCTAAGGTTTCTCAGGTGGGGCCCTGGCCGGGTGGCCAAGTGGTTAGAGCATTCCCCGCCCCGCCCCCGCCCCGCACCAAGGTTGCGGGTTCGGTTCCCAGTCAGGGCACATACAGGAATCAACCGGTGCATGCATGAATAACAACAACAAATGGATGTTTTTCTCTCTTTTCTTTCTCTCCTTTCCTCATTTTCTATAAAATCAATTAAAAAAAAACAAAAACCAAAAAGGCATTCCAGGTGTTTCCTCTGTACTTAAAGTTAAGGAGCGCTGGTCTAGGTGATTTCTTTCTACCCTGATTTTACTTAAGAATTGAGCAAGAACAGCTGTGGCTGTGGAGTCCAGCAAGTACTTTCTGCCCTCTATTGAGCTCTAAAAAGTTACCTCCTGCTCCTGTTCGGTGGCTGCCAGGCGTTTCGGCGTTTGACACGCTCCTGGCCCCGCGCTGAGCCCGGGAAAGTGAGGCCCCGCCCCCCCAAGCCCCTGAGTCCACGTGGGCCACCGCGTCCAATCCCGGCCCAGCCGGGCCTCCTCCCTCCTCTCTCTGTGCCGGCGGTAGTCAGTCTTGCTGAGTCCCAGGCCCCTTTGGGAATGGCCGGGGGGGGGGCGGGGGGGGGAGGAAGCTCTGGCCCCTCCCCAGGAAAGTGCCCACGAGTGGATTCCCCGGCTGCCCACTGGGAAGCTCCGGGAAGCTCCCGGCGACACCCTCACTCCCTGCTTTGCCGGGGGAAGACCCTGCAGACCCCACCACGGCCACGGCGCCGGCTGAACGCCCACGGCGCCCTCACTGCCTCTGCCCCCAACTCGCGAGGGAGAAACCGCCCCCTTCCTGGGGAAACAAGAAACCCCGAAGGCAGGGCTGTTCTTGGGCTGGGGACCGGACCAGCCAGAAACTGGCTGTCGGTTACAGTGCCCCCTGCCGGTGAGCCCCCGCCATGGACGCGGGCCAGAGCCCCCTTCTCCGAGAGGCGGGGGCGGCCGGGTGGGCCATGGGCAGACGCTGCCGCCCTCCGCGGGAGCTGGGAAGGCGCCTGGGAGCTCTGCCCGGGCGGTCCCCGTGTACTGCCCAGGCACCGTGGCCTTGCTTCCTGGACGCGGGGACAGCCGGAGAGAGCCGGGCCTGGGAGGGGGCAGGGGCACAGAACCGCCACCAGCCGGGAGCCACCACGGGGGGGAGGAGGCCACTCCCACCAGCCCCCAGGCGGGAGGGAACCCAGCAGCTGGGCCCGGCGATCCGATCCGGGGGCCAGGCTGCCCGTGGGGGCGGAGGCTGGGATGTGGGGTGTGTCCACCCCCTCCCCGTGGTGCTGAAGGTACTGAGCGCTCTGGGCCCTGCGAGGTCCCTCGGTCAAGGCGAAGGCAAGGGCCACGGGTCCCAGGCCGGCACAGCGCCCCGAAGACCTCGGGAGGAGGTGCCATAGAAACGGGGCTTCAGGGGGCCCCCAACCCACAGCTGGGCCTGGGTCCTGGGGCCACCGCAGGTTAGGGCGCTGCCCTGGGCCACCCGCAGGGCTGAGGCCCAGCCACGGGTGTGCTGAATGCCCCAAGTGCCCCCTCTCCTGCCCCCGGGGCCCCTCTGGAGGTGACAGACGGCCACCAGCAGGGATCCGAGTCCACAGGAGGCTGGCCAGGCTGGGTGTCTCTGGGCATGCCGGTCCCCGAAGAGCCACCAGCCCTCAGGGCAGGTAGAGTGCCACCAGCACGTAGATGACCCAGCTGGTGGACACGAAGACCCCGAACAGCAGGCTGAACAGCACGAGGGAGCGGGCCTTGCGGGACGCCTCCTCGGCCTGGGCCAGGTCGCCCCGGCTCAGGGCCGCGCGGGTCTGCAACGAGATGGGGCCACGGTGAGGGTGAGCCCCCCGCAGCCCGCACCGGGAGGCCAACACCCTGAGAAGCGTGGGGGCCGCTCCGGGGCACCCGCCCCACGCCCAGCAGGACCCACACCCTCGCCCTCGGCTCCGGCAGCCCTCACGACACCCCGACGGGCGGCAGTGTCTCTGCGGCCCCCACTTTGCAGAGGAGGAAGCAGAGGCTCAGGGAAGTGAAGTGACTGGCCCAGGGCCACGCCGCTGGGGCGGGGCCAGGATTCACAGGCAGGGGCGGCCTCCAGAGCCCCACCCCAGCTGTCCCCAGAGGGGCCTCTGTCCCAGCCCCGGCTGGCTGGCCACGGGGGAGCTTGACCAGTGGGGGCTGTGGGGCCACGGCCGGGTCTGCCTCCGGCAGGAGCCCCCAGAGGGTTGCCTGCTCCGTCTGAGAGAATGTCCTCGCCACTGACACCAGTGGGCGCCCAGAGCCTGGCCCTGTGCAGGGTGGTGGGGACGGGGGGAAGGGGGCGGCCATCAAGATGGTGGGTGGGTGACTGGGTGGGTGGGTGAGGGGGTGGGTGGGTGAGGGGTGGCGAGCGGGTGAGCAGACAGGCGGGTGGAAGAGATGGGAAGAAAGAGGGAGGGTGGGTGGGCGGGTGGCAGTCTGTCCCCCATCACACACGAGCCCCCCGGGAGGGGCAGTGTCTGGGGCCCTGTGGTCACCTTCAGTGAGAGTCGTTTCAGCCAAACTTCCTAGCACAGACCTCGAGAGGCGGGGGCGGCGGCAGGAGACCGAAGGAGGTGCCCCCGCAACAGGGGCCGGGGCCCCAGGGCCGCCGACCCCCGCCCCTGCCTCCCTCCCAAGAGGGAGCCGCCAGAGCCCCGCCCCCACCCCATGGGCGGCGCCCCTACCTCGTGGGAGTACACGATGGCGATGAGCCCGGTGAGCAGGCAGCAGAACAGGGTCACCAGCACGGACTCCATCATGTAGTCCTTGGGCAGCGGCCGGTGCTCGATGGTGGCGGGGCCCGGCACAGCGGCCAGGGCGCTGTTGTACTGCGGGCGGGTGGGCCGGGTCAGGCCGCCTGCCCCTCCCGGGCAGCCCACCGCTGTCGCCGCCCCCCGAGTCCTCTCAGGTCCGCCCTCTGCAGATCGCTCCGTGGGGTCCGGTCACCGCTGTGTGTCCACGTCCCCGTGGACACACCCCCGGGGACCTCTGGGCTCTCCTCCACGGGCAGCCCAGGGGCTTTGCTTGATCCTGAGATCGAATCAAACCACCTCCCACCCAGGGGCCCTGGGCCCCTCACATCGGGTCCCCCTTCCCACCCTGCCCTCCTCTCCTCGCCTGGACGGCGGCCCTGGCTGGACAGTGGCCCTGGCTGGACGGTGGCCCTTCCTTCTCGTCTCTAGCGGAACTCCCGTGTCCATCCCTCAGGGCCCAGCACAAAGGCCCCCACTTCCAGGAAGCCCCCCAGACTCACCCACCCCCCAGCTGAGCTAGCCCCTTCCTTTTCCTCCTCGGGGCACCAAAGCCCCCTCTGCAGGGGTTGCTTATGGCGCCTTATCACCTGCGAGCCCACCCAGGCAGGGCGGCCCGTGGGGGGCAGCGAGGGGTGAACGGACGGGGGTGAGAGGGCATCATGTGAGGGGCAAGCGGGGCGCGAGCACTCGGGGGGAGGGAGGGGTGGGCGGGGTAAGGTGGGCGTGGAGCGGGCGGGCGTCGAGCAGGGGGACCACGGGCTGGGCCCCACTCACCACGGGGAAGGACGCAAACAGCTGCGGCGGGGTGGGTGCGGGGTAGAGGGGCGTGGCGGGCGGCGGGTACAGCGCCTGGGGCGCGGGCCCGGGCTGGTACAGGACGGCTCCCTGCGGGAAGGGCGGGTACAGCAGGGGCACGCCCTTGGGGTCCGGCGGCGCGTAGGGCGGGGGCTCGCCCACGAAGCCGATGTTGGGGATGCCTCCGGCCGCCACCTTGGGGCCCTGCCTGGTGTCGCCTGTGGCCTGGGCCTGGGCCTGAGCAGGGGACCCCGCCGCGGCTGCGGCCTCGGCCTGGGAGTCGGCCGAGGGGTCCTCCGGGGCCGGGGCGCTGGCCCCATCCGCGGCCGCTTCCTCACGGGGCCCTCCGTCCTCGTCCAGCAGCTGCGGGCGGCGCGGGAGCTGCGGGAGCTCCGGGCCCTGGGGGTCCTCGGGGGCCGCGGGGCCAGCGCCCCCTTTCGTGTCCGCTCCTGAGGAGAAACGGCAGGTGTCACGAACCCCAGGAGGACACGGCCGGGCGGGACTCCTTCCTTCCCCAGGCCCCAGAGCAGCCCCCCCCGCGGAGGAAGCCCCAGCGGGTCCTGACCCTTCCCGCACCCACACCGGGGCCTGTCCATGCGGGGCCCTCGGAGACTCCGCCCCCTGCAAAGGGCAGAGACAAGACAGGAAGACTGAGGCTCGGGAAATGAGGTGCTGGGCTGGCGGGCACGCAGGCCCTGCCTCGGCTGGGGGGGGCCGTCCTGCCCCCGGGGGGGGGGGCGCTGCGGCCACGGCTGATGGGCCCAGGGAGGCCCCGCTCCCCCAGAGGCTGTCATGAGACCCAGTGGGGGTGGGGGCTGAGCCAGGAGAGGAGCCGAAACAATCAGACTCTGGGCTCGAGAGCTGGGGACGGTGCTGACCCTGGCTAATCAGAGAGCCAGGAGGTCACAAAGAGGGGACGAGACCTGAGTGGGGGCGGAGACGGCACCCGGAAGCCGGGGTGCAGAGGCCCTCAGCTGCCCAGCTGCCCGCCCCCAGTCCCGGGCTCCAGCACCCACGCAGTGCGCTCTGGAGGCGCCCGCACATTTCCCGAGGGCGCCCTTGTGCCTCCTGAGGGCCACCAGGCCGGGTGAGAGCCTCTAGGCCTCGGGCAGGGGTTGGGAGAAGGGCTGGACCTGGGCTGGGTTTCAAGGCCCCACAGGGAGGGCGGCGGCCCAGGGCCCAGGGACCAGCCCTGGAAGTTCAGTTCCTAAGTGTCCTTGCGGCTTTAGAGGGCAGAGAGGCGAGGAAGACAGGCACCGCAGTGACAGGTCAGGCGAGGGCACGGCCTAGCTGAGATGCCCCCCATCCCTACCACGTCCCCCCACAGAGCTGACTGGCAGAGGCCGGGACCCTGGAGGGAGGGGTCCCCAGTGGCAGAGAGCTCCCCACCCCAGGCCTCCCAACCGCCAGCCCCCCGCCCCCCCGCAGCAGGGCCCCTGCTCCGCACACCTGCCTCAGTGTTTGTGCCTCCGCACCTCTGTCCTCACTTTGAAAACTGGGTCGCCAGAACAGCCGGAAAACAGTGAAGAAAATGGCACTAGACACGTAAAGGGACTAAATCATCCAATCAGAAGGCAGAGTGGCCAAATGGATTAAAGCCAAACAAGCCCGGTCTGCCCGCTGCCCACAGGAGACTCGCTCTGGAGCCGGGCCCAGACCTGTGTGCAGGGCGGGAAACACGCCGAACGAAGACTCGTGAGACTCGAAGAAGGGCATTACGTGATGATGATACGGGGGGCGACCCCACAGGGGAGTACGACACCCAGAAATATTTATGCGCCCAGCACGGGAACACGGAGCAGGCAGGGTGGACGTTAGCAGGCCCGCAAGGGGAAACGGACAGCGTTACGATGACGGGCGGGGGGGGGGGGGGGGCTTTAATACCACACTGACATCAACGGATGCGTCACCCAGACAACACCCAGCAACAAAACAGTGGCCTTCACCCACTCATGAGACCGGACATTCCACCCAACACCAGTGGAACACACACCCTTCTAGAGTGCCCAGGGAACATTCTCCAGGATAGACTGCAAATCGCAAAATTTAGGAAGATTAAAATTATATCAAGTAGCCCTGGCTGGTGTGGCTCAGTGGACTGAGTGCCGCCAGCCTGAGAACCAAAACGCTGCACGTTCGATTCCCAGTCAGGGCACATGCCTGGGTTGTGGGTCGGGTCCCTAGTAGGGGGCATGTGAGAGCCAACCACACATTGATGTTCCCCTCCCTTTCTCCCTCCCCTACACGCTAAAAATAAATAAATAAAATCTTTAAAAAGATCATATCAAGCATCGTTTCCAACCACAGTGGTATCAGTTACAAGGGAAAGAAAACCACAGAGAAAGTCACAAGAGCTGTAGATTAAACGACTCGGTCCTGAGAAACCAGCGAGTCCGAGGAGACACCACGGGAGAAGCCGAAGGGGATCTCGAGACAAACGGACACGGAAATGCCAGACACCGACGCTAACGGGATGCGGCAAAGGCAGTTTGTTTTTGTTCTGTTTTGTTTTTGAGAGAGGGGAAGGGAGGGGGAAGGCGGGAGAGAAACATCAGTGTGTGGTTGCCCCTCACCCGCTCCCTCCTGGGGACCCGGCCCACAACCCAGACATGTGCCCTAACTGGGAATCAAACTGGTGACCCTTTGGTTCACAAGACGACACTCAATCCACTGAGCCACACCAGCCAGGGCACAAAAACAGTTCTAAGAGGGAAGTTCACAGCAATAAATGCCCACATCAAGAGACAAAAAACCTCAAATAAACCTAATGCACTCTCAAGGAATTAGGTAAAGAAGAGCAAAGGAAGCCCAAAGTTAGTAGAAGAAAGGAAATAAAGATCAGGGTGGAAATAAATGAAATACAGACTAAAAATACAATAGAAAAGATCAATGAAATGAAGAGTTGGTTCTTTAAAAAGATAAAGAAAACGGACAAACCTTTAGCTAGACCCACCAAGAAAAAAAATGAGAAAATTCAGAATCAGAAATGAAAGAGATGTCACAACTGATAACACACATACAAAAGACCATGAGAGACCACTGTGAAAAATGATAAACCAACAAATCTGACAACCTAGAAGAAGTGGACAAACACCTAGAAACATACAACTACCAAGACTGAATTCAAAAGAAACAGACTCATGACTGACAAGGAGACTCAACCAGTAATCCAAAGCCTTCTGACAGAAGTCCGGGACCAGATGGCCTGGCTGGCAAACTCTACCAAACACTCGAAGGATGAACATCCACTCTTCCCAAACTCTTCCAAAACACAGGAGAGGAGGGAGCACTCCCAAACTCACTTTACAAAGCCGGCATTGCCTGAGACCAGAGTCAAACAAGGACTCCACAAGGAAAACATAAAAATCACAGGCCAATGTCCCCTTATGAATGCAGACGCCAAAATTCTCCAATAAAACACCAGCAAACAGAATTCAACGAGGTAGTGTGGAAGGACCATTCACCACGATCAGGTGGGATCCCCCCTCTGGGGATGCGAGGGCGGTTTAACACCCACAGAGCGTCACCACGCCACCCCACAGCAGCCACACGCAGCCTCAGACTCATACGGTTGTCTCGACAGATGCAGAAACCCTGGGTCAGAACAAGTGCTGTTGTTTTAAGCCCCTCAGTCTCGGGTGGTTTGTTACACAGCAAAAGCCGATGGGTAACTGATACGCAGTTTCCTCTGGCAGCGGGGGCCCAGAGCGAGGGCCAGAGGGCGGGGAGGAGGCCCAGGCGCAGGCAGGGAGGGACCGCAGGGAGCTGAGCCGGAGCAGGGGGCCAAGGGCCGCTGGAGTGCGGACACCTGGCCGGACTCTGGCGGTGCCGCATGGGGACCGGCCGGACAGCACGCAGGGTTGAGGAGGGGAACGGAGCTGTTGGGGGTGATGGGGCAGAGCCCCCTCCCTACCCCCCACCCCGGTGTCCAGGTGTCAGGGCCCAGCCGGGGCAGCTGGGTGAGGGCCTCGGGGGCCCAGCGCCTGGGCAGCTCCCCCGGCCTGGGCAGCTCCTCCGGGTTGTGGGGTCGAGGCCTGTAGCCCGTGAAGTGAGCAGGTTCTCACTGACTGGCCCGGCCGCCCGCCCTCCAAAGTCTGTGTGTCTGGCCAGCCTGGGGGAGCTGGGAGAGGGGGCGGGAGGGGGACGGACGCTCTCGGGCAGGAAGGTCCACACTCAAACGTCCCAAAGGGTTGTGACTGCTGGGTCCAGAGGGCTGGGCTCTTCAGAGAGGGCCCTGGTGGGGGGCGGAGGGGACGCTGATCCACTCGGGGTGGAAGTGGGGGGGGACCTAAATATCCCTGGGGAGGCACCGGCCAGAGTTCCCAGGGCAGCATCTCCCAACCTCGCCCACCGCGCCGAGGGCTGGAGCTCTCAAATACTCAAGGCAACGGCCCCTGGGACTCCGGGAGGAAATGAGAAGCAGCGTTGGCTGAGCCGGGGGCCACTGGCCCGGGTGACTTAGTGGCGAGGCCCTCTGCCAGCACCGCCACCCTGCGGCGGGAGGCCCTGAACCGCGCTGGGAGCGCGCAGCCACCTGGCAGAGGAGGCAGCACCAGCCCCGCCGCTCAGAGGCCCCACGTGCAGTTCGGGCGCTCCCCTCCCCCGCACCTGCCTTCCAGGTCAGACATGCAGCCCTGTGCGCAAACCCACGAAAACACCCAACTGCGGCCGGTTCCTGAGCTTTGGGGGCCGCTAAGCAGACAAAGCTCTGCAGGTCAGAGGTCCGAGGGGCGACGCAGTGACGGTGCCGCCCACGGCGGCCAGGGTTCGCACGTTTCAGGAGCCAGGCCCTCCGTGCACGATGATCGCGCGTGGGCGTCGGCCCTGCCCCTGCGCTGCGGGCCGCGGGCTGGGCCACCCGGCAGACAGGCACGCACCAGTCCCTCTCCCGCCGGAAGGCGATACCCGCCAGTAAAAACAGCGACAGGGGACGCGTGGCCGTGCTCCTTGCGGGGTCGCCCTCCCCGCGCCTTTCTTTCCCTAAACCCCGTTTCACAGCTGCGAGAGCTGAGCGGCGACCCGCGCCGCCGCCGCCGGCAGGGCGCTCCGCGGTCGGTCCCCGCGGGAGGCCGCGCCCCCGCGCCCCTTATCGAAACAAAAACCGCAGCTTCCCCGGGCCCCGCCAGGGCACATACCTGGCCCGATGGCGCGGAGATAGGGCCGCAGAGTAAATAAATGCGCCAGGGGCGCTGCCGGTCACCGCCGGGGCTCTCGGGTTCTGGACACCCGGCCTCCGCGGGACATTCCGGCGGGGAGGGCGCCGGCAGGTGGGGTGGGGAGGGGCTCCAGGGTCTCGGGCGGCGGCGGCGGCGGTTGGAGCCAGGCCAGCCGCCTCTCCCCGCCGCCGCGTCCCCGCACGGGAGCTGGTGGCCGAAGAAATCCGGGTCTCCCTCCCACCCCGGGGTGTCCCTGGAGCACCAGGCAGGGCTCTGCACCCCCCAGCTCCCGGCGGCTGGGGGCTGCCAGGGGCTGCAGGGGGCAGGCACGGAGACGGGTCTCGGTTGACCACCCCTTCCAGCGCCTGGAGCTGGTCCGGCCGTCGGGGGTCCCTGAAGGGGCCTTTCGGCCCTCGCGCCCTCATCTGCCCATCTCTCTGGCTCGCAACCCCTCTCGGGGTCTCTGATTCCGCCTCTGGGGTCCCTTCCCTCCCCCTGGTCCTGTTTCTGCCCCCCACCCCCCCACCCCCCGCCAGGGCGGCCCCTGCTCCCGCTCCAAGGACTTCAGCGTGGCCAGAGGGGGCGGAGTGGAAAATGCCCCCAAACTCGCCCTGCGGGAGTCCCTGCTGCCCGCCCTGGGGGCAATGCGGGGATGCAGGGGCCCCCCAAAGGCCGCCCCTTCCTAACCCCCCTCCGGGGCGCCTGCAAAGCTGGAGGGACACGGCCTACGCTGCCCAACTGTCCACGGCAGCCTCCGGGTCCCCCCACCCCGGGTTCTGAGAGGCTGGTCCCAGGGCAGGGCGGCGGGGGGCCCGGCGCAAAGAAGCTCCCGCCCCTGCGCCCGCCGCCCCACCGCCGGGACCCTGGAGCCCGGGGCTGGGGGCCGCGCAGCGCGCACCGGGCCCCCCGCGTCCTCACCTGCGTCCATGGCGCGGGCCGGCGGCGGGGCGGGCGGGGCGGTGCAGCTCCTGCGCCCGGCGCCTCCCGCCGCCGTCGGGCCCGGCTCCGCTTTCGCCGCCGGCTCGGGTTTCCTGGTGCCGGCTGCACGGTCGGTTAATAATTGACCGCCTGGGCTGCCCAAATCTGTGTCAACAGGTGGCTCCCGCGCGCCCCGGCGCGGGGGCCGAGCCTGCGTGCCGCCCACCGCGCAGGAGAGGAAGGTCGCGGGCGGGCGCTCGGCCGAGGAGCGGGCGGCGGGAGGGGGCAGCGGCGGGCAGAGGTGGGGAAGGGCAGGGCGCCGCACGCCAACGCTCGCGGGGCCGGGAGGGCTCTGGGGGCCGAGCGAGGCGGCGCGGAGACCTGCGCGAACGGGGCCGCGCGGCGGGGTGTGTGTGTGTGTGGCCAGCGAGGACCGCGGGCAACGCAGCGACGGAAGGAATGGGCGAAAGGGGAAATCGCCGCTAGATGGGCGCAGCGATAGTGGCCACGGGCGAGAGTCACCAGCGGCGGCTAAGCTCCGCGGGTGAAAGAGGTTTTTTCAGCGGAAACTGGGTTACCTGCGCAAAGTACCCCCCACAGAACAGGCGGTCGGCGTGGGCATCGCCAGATCACGGGCGCACGGGCGCACACCTGCGGCGCCCCGGCCGGGAGCGCTGCACCCCGCCCCTCGGAGACCGCAGAGGGCCGCGCCCCAAACACTGCGATGCCTTCGCTTTTCATTGGAATTTCCCTTCGGCTCCTAAACTCCACGTCCTCCCCCAGCCCCACCCCCCTTAGTGCCTTCTCTGGTGTCAGACACTCTCATCCGTGTGCTTCCTCTTCAAGTGGGCTTTAAAACTTTTTTCTTGAAAACCACTTTAAGCCCTGGCTGGCGTAGCTCAGTGGACTGAGCTCGGGCTGCGAACCAAAGTGTCGCAGGTTTGATTCCCAGTCAGGGCACATGCCTGGGTTGCAGGCCACGGCCCCCAGCAACCGCACATTGATGTTTCTCTCTTTCTCCCTCCCTTCCTTCTCTAAAAAATATAAATAAAATCTTTTAAAAATTTTTTAAAAATTTAAAAAGTAAACGATACAAATAATTAAACAAACAAAAAAAGAAAGTCACTTTAAACTCAGGGAAAAGCTGCAAGGATGGCGCAAACGCCGGAGAGTGGCTTTCCGGAGGAGTTTTTGGCCACTAGAGGACCCAGGTCCGGACCACGTGGGGCGCTGAGGAATCGTCTTCACTTGGAGAGGCCCGCCGAACTGGGTGGGCCAAAGAGTCCCTTCGTTTTTTCCATAAAATGAGGCACATTTTTCACTTTCACCAAAAACCTCACCGACGTGGATGTTTTGAGTGCGTCGGCTCTCTCCCGCTATCGGCGTCTGGTGGGGAGAGGCCGGGGTGCCGCTGAGCACCATCCAGTGCATGAGACAGCCCACGGCAGGGAGTTATTTGGCCAACATGGCAACAGTGCGAGAAACTTGGCAAACCACACTTGACACATTTTATCAGTCACAGAGCCTTCTCCACGCACTGCACACATCTCCCTTTGTGCATGTGTGTGTGTTTCAGCCGTGTTTTTACCTCTCTTGAAATACTATAGCCCTGGCTGGCGTAGCTCAGTGGATTGAGCGCGGGCTGCAAACCAAAGTGTCGCAGGTTCGATTCCCAGTCAGGGCACATGCCTGGGTTGCAGGCCACGGCCCCCAGCAACCGCACATTGATGTTTCTCTCTCTTTCTCCCTCCCTTCCCTCTCTAAAAATAAATAAATAAAATCTTTAAAAAAATACTATAAAGCACAACACGCCAAAAATGTTGCCTGTTTTCTTCCATCTTCGATATTAAAATGGCTGCACAAAAATCCACCAATCTTGGTAAGCTTTTTAAAAATGCACGCTGATATGACAGCTGTCACAATACACTCTAACAAAACTGTTTCAGACGAAGTTACAGACCAGCGCTACCAGAGCCATCCGAGGGGAAACGCCGACTGGACTTTCCGGCCGACCCAGTAAGACCCTTTCCACACTGGCGATCCACCTCCAGCCCCTCGGACACGAGGTGGCCCACTGGCAGCTCCCGTTGCCTGTCGGCCCGCAGCCGGCACGGTTCTCCGGCCTTCGGGGTCTCGGTGAGCGCCTCCAGCGCAGGGCCTGTCTTGGGAAGCTGCCCCGTGGGTGCCTGGGACGCGATGCAGTTTTGCATTTGTCTCTGGGGAGCCTTTGGGGAATCCCCAGAGGTGGGCTGGGCCCTTTTTGTTACTTTCTCTGTCTGTGGTTTCTGCGGGCGCAGGTGGCTCCGGGCAGTGCGGGCCCAGGGTCCCCCTTCCTTAGGGATGACTCTCTTCCTGCCCAGAGCCCCCGGGTGGAGGTTTGCCCCCGGTTCACAGACAGGCAGTCCCTCTAGGCTCCAGCTGTGCGCAGAGGGCCAGTTCCGGAGCCCCGGCCGTGTGGGGGCCTGTGGCTCCCGCTCCCACACCCCCAGGCACAACCGGTCCCGGCCCCTTTAAGGGCAGGCTGGCTCCAACCACTGGCTGGCTATGACGACCGTCTCCACTCAAGGGCCTCTTGTTGAGTGGGGTTGGGTTTCCCTTTCCTCCTCCCAGCGAGGAGGTCGGGCACTCCCCTGTCTGGCGTGTGCGTGTGCAGGAAGGCGCACTGCCTCCCCGCGCCTGCGAGCTCAGCCCTCCTGACCCCAGAGTCCACTCGCAGCCACAAACCTCCGGGGAGTTGGCGGCGGTGGAACCACCGCCGACTCCTCAATTTCCCCTGCAGGAAAGTGGGGTGATGAAGGTACCCACCTCACAGGGTTTGTTAGGACCAAGAACAACCCTGGCTGGTGTAGCTCAGTGGACTGAGCGCAGGCTGCGAACCAAAGCATCGCAGGTTCGATTCCCAGCCAGGGCACATGCCTGGGTTGCAGGCCACGGCCCCCAGCAACCGCACATTGATGTTTCTCTCTCTCTTTCTCCCTCTCTTCCCTCTCTAAAAATAAATAAATAAAATAAAATAAAATAAAAAGAACAAACGGAGACCGGCCGAGAACACTCCCAGAGCGGATACAACCAGCTCAGGTGTGCTGAGCCGGACCCGGCTTCCTCTGCACGGCTGACTTGACCTGGGTCACTTCCTGCTTATGCCTCTGGAAATTGTAAGCAAAACTCACTTCCCAAAGCTGACCCGAGGTAACCCTATCCAGCTGACTGCCATTAGGAAAGTCCGAACATAACCGATCAGCGGGAGGAAGCCACCCCCCCCCCCCTTGGACGCGGTTCTGTGACTACATTCCACGTTTTGGTCTGAGAGCTGCGGGTTCTGAACGGTCTGTCTGGTGCGTGAGAGGTAAACTTTTGCTCACGACCACTCGGTGACCCGTGGGTTCCTCTCCCTGAACACTGGACGGGCCGTCTGAGGCTCCATCACCATTCAGATTCTTAGCCGAACGCCACCGAACGCCACACCCTCGGCCGCAGCCATCTCAGGCCAGAAGCGCAAACACCCGAACCCGCGGCTCGCCCCGGGAGAGGGGCTGTGGGCGGGCCTCGTTTTACTGGTATTTGTGTCTTTTTCTGCGACGGACACGGGTTCAGGAAAACGGCAGGAAGCACCACCTGGAACGTCAGGCACCCACCGAACTCTTTTGAGAGCTGAGGGCGAGGAAAAGACGCGTGGCCGGAGCAGACCGGTGTCTCTGCGGGCAGCTGGGCTGGATGAGGGGGTGGCGGGGGAGGGCGGCCTGCGCTTCCCCAGCTCCCGAGAACTCGAGGGGCTGGGGAACGGGGAAGAGAGGAGCAGAACCCCAGGGGGCGGGCACGGGCCACTCCTGCGAGTTCTCCTGCCCTGGCTCCGAGAAACCCAAACGCGGGAACGGCAAGTCTCACCCCACGCCTCGCTCAGGGACAGCAAATGCTCTCTGCGCGTGGCAGGGAGGCGCGGCCAGACAGCAGCCGAGGCCCTGCCCTCCAGGGGCCTTGGCTCGCCAGACGAACCAGAAGCAGGCGCTTGCAGCATTTACTGCCTAGTGGTAGCTGTGTTGGTGGCTTCCAAGGGACAGGCTGGGGCCACTGTGAGCACCGAGGAGGCTGGCCCCGCCCAGCGGGGGAGGGGCCGGCGTGTCTTGGGGTAGGGCTGTGGGGAAGAGTCCGTCTGGCCGAGGATGGGGTCTGGGAGGAAGGGAGTCCGGGCCTGGGCTTGGTGGAGTGTGAGTGAGATGAGGTGGGGAGCTGGCTGGCTGGCTCCCTTCGCTGTGGCTAAGAACCGGCCGGCCCCGGGAGGGGCCGTCTCTCCCCGGGTCTGTAAGACCCCCAAAGGCCAGTGCATCAAGCACACAAAAGAAAACAGAGTTAACGTGGTTAACTGTGAGGAACACTGGCAAATAGACACAGAATCGAGGAAAACACCCACCGGGCACCTCGTGTGGGCCGGGCCCCGTGCGTGCCAGCCCAGCTCGGCTGCTCCGCATGGCCAAGGCAGCAGCCCGGTCACAGCACACGCCAGCTCCCCAGAGGGTCTCTCCGGCAGCCTGGACACCAGCGGTCTCCCGACCCACCCCCCACCCCCCACCCTGGCACATTCCCCAGCTGTGCTCCCAGATAAGGTCTGTGGGTGGACCGGCCCGTCCAGCCTCAGCTCGGGAGCACTCCCCGCTCAGGGCCCGATGCAGGCATGCCCCCCAGGTGCTGCATCTCTGTCTGCCCTTGGCCTTGACCTCCTGCATGGCCCCTCAAGGCCAGCGGTGCCCTTCCTCCAGGACCTGAGTAATAAACTTCTCTATTTCAAGGTCTCTCTGGTCTGGGTCTGTTGCTGAACCTTGCTCACTTTCCTGCACCCCGTGCCCCACGTAACAAATGTTAATTGCACGAAGTCACGCCATTCCCCTATTTGGGCAGTCAGGACACACGGAGTGGTCACGTTACTGCCCAGGTCATTCAGCCGAGGCAGGGTCTGTCCCCAACTCTGGCCCCGGTGCCTGCCTCCTGGCCTTGCCAGGTCACTGTGAACAGGTGGGCGGTCCTCCCATTTGGAACTCCTGTGTAGGTTGCTCTCCATCAGGCAGAGGTTTTTTTCATGCTGACCCAGCTGTCCCTTCATTAGTTCCCCCGTGTCCAGATCCACGAAGCTCGGGAGGCCCGAGTGCCCTTGCACACCCGCCCCCGATCGGCCCAAGCTGCCTGGGACCCCTCCAGAGACAGGTGAATACCTCTGAAGTTACAAAGACAGGGACCTCGCCCGATGCTCCGTGCCCCCTGCATCACGTTTCCGCGGCA